CCATCGCCCCTTCAACTCATTCAGATCGCGTAATCTTCCGCTATCCTCTCCCTTATAGATGATAGAAGCCCAATCCAACATCTATAGAGGAGAGGAGAGCAGAAGATTACGCGATCTGAATGAGTTAAAGGGGCGATGGGCGGAGTCGCGCCGCCTCAAATGGGCGGCGCGACCCCGCCCAACGCGCCAAACGGCCGGCTCCCATTGGCTGGCTCTTTCCATCCGAGAGTGCAAGAGCTCTTTACGAACATTTCGATGAAGTCTTCACCTTTTGACTTAGTTCGATACTGCTGGCTTTACAAAACTTTAAGTGGACTTTTATATAGTAAATAGTTCTCTGTGGACTAAAAAGAGTAATTTTTGAGAAGGAGTAGAAAAACGACTTTCGATGTCCATTTTCAGGTCTCATATCTACGTACCAATTGACCGATTATTACAAAGGTCAGGAAAGAAGTGGACAGCTTAGTGGACATGTGACGGAAAATCATTCCTTACCTCCGAAAATTACGTCGACCACGTTTTTCACCATTACATTAACTTCGTCCTTTGGGGATACTCGTCCTGATTCCAGAAGCCCAAATCCTGAAAATAGTCTTCGTTTGTGGGAACGGGTAAGGCAGATTACCAATAGACCAACCTGCTGTCATAGTGAAAATGGTGAAGCTGGATGCCATCATCCAGACGCCGTCGTCTTGGCTGTTTTCGCTTTCTTTGCCCATGATGAGGAGGAAACTGAAATTACTTTAGCATTTTTAAGCCCATCTTTACGACAATTGTCAGTAAATTCAAATGTTCTCTATGATATCAACGTATGAAAAATGCTACAGAAGCTGTGGGAAAGGAATAGATAGACAAAAGCTTAGGAGAGCTACAAAGCAACGATAGCTTTGTTTGGAAAGTTTCTGACCATGACCACTATCGATTTGTATGATTTGCTATCAACTATTTTTTTTTGCTATTCTCCCGATCAGACGCTTTCTCGGTAAGAGGGCGCAGACGAGCAGAATATTAGGCGACCTGTTTTGCCGGTTGCGATGCGTTTTGACTATTCAATTTTTTCGTTAGTTTTAGCTACATATCATCGCTCCTTTGGTGATGGTGAGTATGGATTCTAGTTACTTAAACATATTTTAATAAAATTATGGCGAAGATGGAAAGACGAGGTACCTTTAAATGCACAGTTCACGATAATTTTGAGGTACCCTTTTTAGTCAAAAGCGGAAGTGTCGATGTAGAGGAGGACATCGGTGGCGAATAAAGCGAGAAAATCCGACTACTTCAAGCTTCTTAGAAGTAGTGGAAGTGGAGGTTGTACGAGTTCACCGCGACAGAATGGCATGTGAGGGGTTTTCGGACGAGATTTAACATGCTTCCATCGTGCAAAGACCTGACTACATCAAACCATAATTGCTCAGAACTGCCTTTCACTGGATCATGAGAAGTTGTTGAACTTCCGACATTGGTTCCCTTATGAATGGTGCAGACTCCACAAAGCCATTGTAACTCGTCCGCTAGGGGTGTGGCATTCACACGATGCAATCTCTGGTACCTTATTGAGCCCTATCCAGGACCTTTTTCGTCCTTATAATGAGAGGTATGGTATAAGGGGGAGCCTCGAATTCACACTATAGGGGAATCTCAGAAACCATTTTTATCGTGAACTGTGCCTTTGAGTGGCTTCGCTTTTATATGATTACTCGATGGAACGCATATTTGTAATACTACATTTAACAGGCGACTCTTGCTTTTTTGGAAGGAGTTCAAAAGGTATCAAGCGCAGTTGGGACGTTGAAACCACCAAAAGAATGACTAGATCTGGGAAGATAGTTATTGTAGTGTAAAATCATCCAAATGTCGCTGTCGCAATTCTAAAAATATCAAATATTAAGAAGTAAGAAGAGAGTATTAAGAAGTATCTTGGCGCATCCCAAAAAGCGCGTTAGTGATATCAAACAGCTTATTATTTGAGTTCGTTCGAATGTGGGGATTTATGAAAACAAACAAGGTTTCGAGATCTTTGTCAGTACTACATACTGAGGCAGATTCTATAAGGTCGATTCGCATGCTCAAAGTAATCATCACTATTAACCGTTGCGACTAATCCTAGTGATTATCATCACGAGGACGAGCTATGGAGGATTGAAGTCTGTTGACATGGGTACCGATATAGTCAACCAGAAGCTTCTATCATGCTAACTGAAATTAATAACAAGTAACTAGAGAAAGTAGGGAGAGGGATGTGAAAGGGAGAAGAACGCAGTTGGGACGTTGAACCACCAAAAGAATGACTAAAAGAAGAAAAGTTGATTGTTGATTGGTTGTAAGGGGGGGNCACGTTCGTACCGTCCCCCATTCCAAACCGATTCAGTCGGGTCCCATCTGTAGCTACGGTCCCAGCATAAGAGACGCAGACACAGTGGATTGGCTGGCTCTTTCCATCCGAGGGTGCAAGACCCCTTTACGAACATTTCAATGCAGTCTTCACCCTTTGACTTAGTTCGATACTGCTGGCTTTACAAAACTTTAAGTGAACTTGTATATAGTAAAAAGTTCTCTGTGAACTAGAAAGAGTAATTTTTGAGAAGGAGTATAAAAACGACTTTCGATGTCCATTTTCAGGTCCCCTATCTACGTACCAATTGACCGATTATTACAAAGGTCAG